TGTGTGTGTGTGTGTGTGTGTGTGTGTGTGTGTGTGTGTGTGTTTGTGTGTGTATGTGCGGATTTAATGTCCGTGGTTGGTCTAACTTCCGCAAATATTGAGATATTGGGCTGTTTTTTTTTATCGATAGAGTATCATTCAAGGAAGGTTGATATTGAATTCGGCGATAATCGGTAAAATTTTTTTTTTTTTAAATTTTAAATTTTTTTAGAAATGCTCGTGGTTGCTCTAACTTCCGCAATCATTGAGATATCGGGTTTAATTTTTTTTTTTAATCTATAGAGTATTATTTAAGAAAGGTTGGTATTGAATTTGGCGATGACCGGTAAAGGGTTTTTTTTTTAATTTAAAACTTTTTAGGAATGTCCGTGGTTGCTCTAACTTTTTTAAATTTTGAAATATTGCGCTATTTTTCTAATTTTATTATATTTTTCAGTTTTTTTTACCCTTATTTCATATAAAATTCTTTAAGATTTGGCGAAGATTGATGAAAAAGTTACCGATGTTTGTTCAAAAAGTTACATGTATAAGTTGTATATGTAATTTTATATAGAGTATTATTAAAAAAAGGTTGGTATTGAATTTGGGAATAATCGGTAAAAGGATTCTTTCTTTATAAAATTTTGAATTTTTTGAGGATCGGTGAAGGAGTTACCGATTTTTGCCTAAAAAGTGGACAAGTTATACATTTAATCTTATATATAGAGTTTCATTAAAAGAAGGTTGTTCTGAGTTTGGCGAGGATCGGAAAATTTTGAAAGGATTACCGATTTTTGTTTAAAAAATATATAAGATGTACATGTAATTTTATATAGAGTATCATTAAAATAAAGTTGTTTTAAATTTTGCGAGGATCGGTGAAAGCGTTACCGATTTTTGCTTAAAAAGAACTAATTAATCAAATTTTAAAGGATTATATATGAAATAGGAGTATAAAAGATCTAAGACTACAATAGAATTAGAAAAAATTTTTAATATAATAAAAAAGTGTGAAAATGAGAAATTTGCATATTGCTTCTTATGTACGAATTCTCCGAAATTTTAAAAGGCTATAACTCAAGAGCAAATTAACAAAATAAAATATTAAAGAATAGGGACTTCCGGTTCCGGAGAGAACGAGAGTGACAGGTGTGAAAGTGAGCGAGAGCAAAAGGGTTTAGTAGAGAGTGACGAGGGAAGCTGAGGAAGGAGAGGGTGACTGAGCAAGGAGGTGTGGAGGTGAGAGAGTGAGGAGGTAAGAGGGGGAATAGAGGAGGGGCAGGGAAGAGGAGATAAAGGGAGGTAAAGTGGCGAGGCACTGAGTAGGTGGAAGCACGAACGATAGCTGAGCTAGAGGGGCGCACGGCAGGTGAACCGAGCCGAGAGCGGCAGCACGAGGTGGGGCGCGAACGATAGCGAAGAGAGAGGGGCGACTCGACGCAGAATCCGGGACGCGGACAACAACACGAGGCAGGGCATAGAGTAGGTTGGGGAGCTAGAGGGGGAACTGAGCCGAGATAGGAGGAAATGAGTGAAGGGAAAAAAAACGGGAAGGAGGGAAAGGGTGCGATAGGTAAGGTTAAGGAAAAGGAGAAAGTTAGAAGGGGGAGCACGGGAAATATAGAAGAGTTATGGAAGAGGAAGAGGGAGGAAATGGAGAGGAGCGGGGGGGGAGGAAAAGGAGGAGATCTTTAAGAGAAGTAATATGACGGCAAGATCTCCTAAAAAAGACTCGGAGATAAGTGTGAAGGAGTTGGGAGAAAGAATGGGAGAAATGATGGAGGAATTTAGGGCAGTGAGAGAAGAGCTAAGGGAGGGTTTCAAGGAGCAGGGTAGGAAGATGAGAGAAGAGATAGAGGATCTGAGAAGGGAGTTTAGGGAGCGTGAGAAGAGATGGAAAGAGGAGAGGGAAGAGACAAATAAGCAGAAGGAGAAAATGGAAGAAAGAATAAGGAGATTGGAGGAAAAAATGGAAGAGAGGAAGGAGGAGAAGAAGGAGGAGGAAAGAAACGGCAGAGGGGAGGGGGGGGAGAAAATGAGAGAGCTGGAGAGAAGGCTGGAAAGGAAAGAAAAGGAGGAGAGAAGAAGAAACGTTGTAATAAGAGGGCTGGAAGTAAAAGAAGGAGGGAGGAGAGAAAATGCAGAAAAGTTGCTTGAAGGAATAGGAGCGAAAGTAAAGGTTACAGAGGTGAAGAGAATAGGAGGTGATACAGAAAAAGGAAGGGAAATGGTGCTGTTAAAATTGGAGAACGAAGAACAGAAATGGGAGGTTATGGAAAAAAAAGAGGAGCCTAGTGGGGAGAAAGGAAAGAATTACGGAGGACCTATCGTGGGAGGAAAGAAGAACGAATTGGCGGTTGAGAGAGATAGCGAGAGGGGAGGAAAGAGAGGGTAGGAGGGCATGGATTAAGGCAGGCAGAATAAGGTTGGAAAATACTTGGTGGAGATGGGATATAGAAGAGGAGGTGTTAAAGGACGAAAGGGGAAGGAGAAGAAAGGAGAGCAGAGGAGGGAAGGAAGGGAAAGAAGGTAAAGGAGGAGAGGGAGAGGTAGGAATGGAGACGGGGGAATGAGAGGAGAAGAGGATAGAGGGGGGGAGATAGAGAGGGACAATGCGAAAGTTAGAGGGGAAGAAGAGGGGGAAAGTAAGTCAGTTTGGAGGATAGTATTCTGGAACGTAGCTGGGTTGGAAAATAAAGATAAGGATTTTTGGGAAGGGCTGAAGAAAGAAGATGTGTTAGTCATGTTAGAGACCTGGATAGGAGAAAAGGGTTGGGAAAGAATAAGGGGGAGACTTCCAAAAGGGTACGAGTGGGGGGTGCAAATGGCGAAGAAAAAGAACAAAAAAGGAAGAGCAATAGGAGGGATGATAATGGGAATAAGGAAAGGATTAAAAGAAAAGGGAACGGCAATAGAAGTAGAGAGGGAGGGTTGGATTGTGGGAAAGGTCAGAACAGGTGGCGAGAACTGGAATATTATAGGGGTGTATGCAAAGAAAGAGGGGATGGAGGAGATCGTACAGGAGTTAGGAGATAGAATGGAAAAGAAAGAAGAAGGAAGGTATACGATAATTGGGGGAGATTTTAATGCGAGGACTGGTCAAGAAGGTGGGAGGATAGAGGAAGAGGAGGGAGGAGGACTGGGAGAAGGAAGAAGATCGAAGGACAAGAAGGTGGACAAAGAGGGGAGGCTGTTGGTAAGGAGCTTAGAGGAGAGAGGATGGGAGATATTTAATGGAAATGTGAGAGGGGACGAGGAGGGGGAGTTTACTTTCACGGGGGGAAGAGGAGGTACGGTGATTGATTACATAATAGGGGAAGGAGAAGTAAGAGAGAAGATAGTGAGCATGGTAGTGGGGGAGAGAATAGACTCGGACCATCACCCATTGGAAATAGAAGTAAGAAGAGGGGAAGAGGAGGAAGGCAGGAGAGGAGGGTGGAAGAAAAGAAGAAGGGGGGTGTGGAACGAGGAAGGAACAAAGAGGTTTAGAGAAAAAATAGGAGAGGTGGAAGAAAAAGAAGAAGAGTTGAATAAGGAATGGGAAGAAATGGAAACAAGAATAACAGAGGCAATAAAAGAAGTAGAGGAGGAGCTGGGAAATAAGAAAGGGAAGGTGGGATGGTGGGATGAGGAATGTCGAGAAGCGAAGAAAGAGACAAGGAGAAAATTAAGGGATTGGAGGAAGAAAAGAGGAGAGGCCAGTGCGTACAAGGAAAGGAGGAAAGAAGTTAAGGAGATATGTAAGAGAAAGAAGGAAGAGGAGAACCAGAGATGGGAGAGAAAAGTGGAGGAAGCAAGGAGGGAGGCGGAGGTATGGGAGATAGTGAATAGGGAGAGAAGACAAAGGAGGGGAATAGAGGAAGGAATAGAAGAGGAGGAATGGAAAGAGCACTTTATGAAGTTATTAGGAGGAGTAGAGGGGAGGGTGAGGATGGGGAGGGAAGGAGAGAGGGAAGAAAAGGAAGGAGAGGAGGAAGAGGAGATAAGCCTAGAGGAAGTAAGGAGAGTTATAAAGAAGCTAAAGGACGGAAAGGCAATGGGAAAGGATGAGATCCCAGGAGAGGCCTGGAAGCGAGGAGGGAAGGGGTTGGAGGTTTGGGCATGGAAATTTATCAATAAGATATGGAAGGGGGGAGGATGGCCGGAAATTTGGAAGGAAGGGATAATTGCGCCAATCGTAAAGAAAGGGGAAGGAAAGAGGGCAGAGGAATATAGAGGGGTGACAATAATGCCTTCTTTGTATAAGGTGTACACGGCTATTCTGGCGGAGAGGATAAGGGAGGAGATAGAGGGAAAGAGAATGGTACCGCACAACCAGACAGGTTTTAGAAAGGGAATGGGAACGATAGACAACATTTACGTGTTGAACTACATGGTGAACAGAAGGTTAGAGAAGAAAGGGGGAAAACTAATAGCATGCTTTGTGGACCTTAAGGCGGCGTTCGATTCGGTGGATAGAGGAATATTAATAAAAGCTATGAGAGAAAGGGGAATAAGGGAAGGACTGGTGAGAAGGACGGAAGAGATGTTAAGAGAGACGAAGAGTAGGGTAAGAGGAGGAAACGAATTGGGAGAAGTATTCTGGACGGGGAGGGGAGTAAGGCAGGGATGCCCTTTGAGCCCGATTCTGTTCAATGTGTTGCTAGCAGACCTGGAAGAGGAAATGGGTAGAGTTAAATGGGGAGGGATAAGGCTAGGAGGCAAGAGGGTGTATACTCTGGCCTATGCGGATGATATAGTGCTAATCGCGGAGGACGAGGATCAAATGAGGAGTCTGATAGAAAGACTAGAGGGGTACCTGGGCAGGAAGAGATTGGAATTGAACGTGGGGAAAACAAAAATAATGAGGTTTAGGAAAGGAGGAGGGAGGGACAGTAAGAGGAAGTGGAGATGGGAAGGAAAAGAGTTAGAAGAGGTGAGGGAATTTCGGTATTTAGGATACGTGTTTCAAAGAAATGGAGGGCAGGAAGCCCAAATAAGGGAAAGGATCAAAAAGGCGGCCGCAGTGATGGGAAAAGTATGGGGGATAGGGAAGAGGAGATTCGGGAAAGACTGGGGAAAAAGACTGTGGCTGTTCGATAGACTGGTGTGGACGGTGTTGAGTTATGGAGCGGAAATATGGGGATGGAGAGAAAGGGAAGGAATGGAAAGAATGGAAGAAAGGTACATTAGATGGGTATTGGGAGCGGATGTGAGAACACCGTGGTATTTAGTGAGGGAGGAGTTACAAAGGGAGAAATTAAGAGGGAGAGCAGGAATGAGGGCATGGAGATTTGAGAAAAAGTTAGAGGAAGGTGGAGGAAGTGAATTGGCGAGGGCTGCCTGGGAAGAGTTGAAGGAAAGAGAGAGGGAAGGGAAAGCTGGCTCAGATTGGGAAAGAGAGAGAGGAAAGTTCTTCGAAGACAGAGGTGTGGGGTTAAAAGAGGTGGAAAAGATGAGAGGAGATGGAGACGAATGGTTTCTTAAATTGTTTGAAGGGGATAGGGAGACGCAGAGGAGAGAGAGATGGGAGAGGATCGAGAAATCGGAATATAATAAATGGTATAAGTGGATAAAGGGAGAGGGTATCCCGGGATATTTGAAGAAGGGTTGGGGAGAAAGTAGATGGGGAAGGGTGGCGAGATACAGACTAGGGAACGAGATAGGAGAGAGCAGATACTGGGAAGCGGAGGAGAAAAAGAAGTGTAGATTGTGTGAGAACAAAGAGGAAACGTGGGAGCATGTATGGGAAGAATGTAGAAGATGGAATTCAGGAAAGGGAAGCTGGCAGGAGGCGGTAGGATGGGTCTTGGACGAGGAAGGAAGAGGAGAGGAATGGATGCTAGAATTAGAAGGGGAGAGAAGGAGTGGAAAGGGAGATTTAGAAGAGTTAAAGGAGGGTAGTGGGGAAGACGGAAGGGGAAAGGGGGGAGGAGGATAAGTGGGAGGGGGGAAGAGGAGAGTAGAGAAAAGGAGAAGTGAGTAATTGTTCTGTTATAGGGTAGCCAGGATGGAGCGTGAAGGGAGAATGATAGTGGAGGCAGTGGAAGGGATTGTAGAGGAGAAGTTAAGGAAGATACTGAGGGAAAAGAAGGAGGAAGACAGAAAAAAAGGACGAGAGGATGGAGGAGCTGGAGGAGAAGGTAAGGAGGCTGGAGAGAAAGATGGAAAGGGTGGAGCAAGGTGGAGGCAAAAGGAAGAGGGAGGATAGCGAGGAGAGTAGGGCGGGAAAGAAGAAATGGTGGGCAGGTGAGGGTGAAAGGAACGAGGACGATTTCAGAAAGAGGAATGTAGTTATAAGAGTGGAGAAAGAGAAATGGGAAGGAAAGGAGACCAACTGGGAGAAAGTAAAGGAGCTTTTCGAAGAAGGGCTGAAGGTGAAGGTGAAGGTAAGAGAGGTGATAGTGGTGGGGCAGAGAGGGATTTGGTTGACGATACTGGTAAAGCTAGGAGACGAGGAGGAGAAGAGGCGAGTTTTGGAAGCGAGGAGAAGGGCAGGGAACTCCATAGGAGTCAAAATACATGAGGATAAATCGGTGGAAAGGAGGGTTAGAGAAAGGGAAGATGGGAGAAGGGAGGTGCATAAGTGCACAGGGAGATCGGCGGAGGAAGAAATAACGAGAAGGATGGAGGAGAAGCTGCTCTTGAGTCCAGAGAAGGAGAAGGAGGAGGGACGAGAGAGGCAGCAGACCAAATAGGGAGGAGTCGACAGGAAGGATGGAGAAGGAAGGAAGGAAGGAAGAATGGACGGCGGAAGCGGAGGAAGAAGAAGAGGGATGAAGAGGGGAGGGGAGGGGGGGTAAATATCTTTGTAAGGTCGCAAATGGCCAGGCACAGGGGAAAGAGAATGTACGAGGTTTGGGTACGTTCCTCATAAAAACGCCTTGTAAACCCCACGGGGAAATGCAATAAACGGCATACATACATACATACATACATATTAAAGAATAGAATATGAAATAAAGGTAGAAAAGACTGAAAAGTATAACAGAATTAGAAAAAAATTGTCAATATATTTTTTAATCGATAGAGTATTATTCAAGGAAGGTTGGTATTAAATTTGGCGATGATCGGTAAAGGGGTTCTTTTATAAAAAAATTCTGAATTTTTTTAGAAATGTCCGTGGTTGCTCTAACTTTCGAAAATATTGAGATATCGGGCTGAATTTTTTTTATTGATAGAGTATCATTTAAGGAAGGTTGGTATTGAATTTGGCGATGATCGGTAAAGGGGTTCTTTTTAAAAAAATTTTTGATTTTTTTTAGAAATGTCCGTGGTTGCTATAACTTTTGTAAATTTTGAAATATTGGACTATTTTTAATTTTATTATATTTTTTAGTCTTTTTTACCCTTATTTTACATATAATTCTTTAAGATTTAATTGATCAGTTTTTGAGTTAAAGGCATTTAAACTTTTGAAAAATTCAATATAAAGAAAGAACCTTTTTACCGATTATCGCCAAATTCAATACCTTTCTTAAAAATGATAGTTTATCCATCAAATAACTTACACATTTTATAAGCAAAAATCGATAATCCTTTCACCGACCCTCGCAAAATTCAAAACAACTTTATTTTAATGATACTCTACATAAAATTACATGTACATCTTATACACATTTTAAGCAGAAATCGGTAATCCTTTCACCGATCTACGCCAAATTAAATAACAATTTTTCTTTAATAATACTCCATCCATCAAATAACTTAGGTTAGATTGAGGCAAATCGGATTAATATATGAACGGGGATAGTTTCGCCCCGGAGGCAAGATTTGCGATACTCGAAGGACCAGAGGGGGGTTGTTGCTTTCCCCTCACGACTATCAAATGTTTAACGCGAAAGCAGAAACGCATGCAACGAAATATTAAGCGAAGCGACTCACCGTGTCGGCCGTCGTCCCCGTGATTCTGTCAATCCTCGTCCTGTCCCTTGAACTTGGCCGCTCCGTGGGTCTCGTTCGG